GGTTTAAAACTAATAACAACACCATGAAAATTCTCCGTGAGTCATCCTGTCAGCTGTAGCTTCTGTTTGAGTCTTTCTGATATAACTAATGTTACTGCCAGCTCTGCTAACAACTTGCCATGCTTTAGATCTATATCCTAATAAAAAGGTACAATGGTAGATAATTTTTGAACTTTTCTTTTTTCTATTTCTGTAATTTTTGGTTCTTTTAGTGAGTCTAAGCTAGACCAGTTATAAATTGTAGGTGGTGAAAAGATTTATGACTGGTGTTTTTTTTTGAAGGATAGGAGTGGTGGTGGTCATTACTACTTTTGGTTCTATGAATCTTACTGTCCAGAGATCTAAAGATTGAATTAACAGTGTAGTTGAAGTCAGCAATATGTTCTAAATCCCTATACTTAAGGGTACTTATGTATTGCAGACAAATGCCCTTTTAGCTGTTTTGTTTGTTATTTTGTGAAAAATGATATAATGCTAGAACTAGCTGGTTCATATTCACATTGGAGTAATTTCAAATTTTAGTGTTGTGCCTCAGGATCTTTAAATTATTTTGTAGAAATAGATAAATAAAAAACTTGATTTACATCCAGGACACCGAAAGCCTTAATCCTTCTTGATACTTTAAAGGAGATGCAGAAATAATGGACTCTCTTGCTAAGTGGCAGGTATGGTCAACGCAATTTCACAGGCTTTAAAAAAAAAAAAAATCCCTGGCCCTACTTGCTAGGAAAATTAAAAGTTTTGGTTGTAACCTGATCTTTTCTCTTACCCTGCAGCATCTGGGAAGTTTGTTAACTTGAGTATTGACTTTAATTTTATATGACTTGGCAAGTTAAACCTATAGTTTCATCATTGACTCTGAATTATGCATTTCTGTGGATTTCACTGAGCTAAAAACCTATTTGAATATTGTTAGTCTTTAAGTTTATTTTTCTTTTCTACTTAATTTGAAATTAAATCTCTAAAGTTCAGATTTTATTTTTGTTCTAACAGTTAATGGTAATTAAGTGGTTATTATGTGCTAGGCAGTGCTTCTCATTTAATGCTTTGCATTTTCTAATTCTCAAAACAAATTTCTAAGGTAGGGACTAGTCTTTTTTTTTTTTTAAGATTTTATTTATTTATTTGAGAGAGAGAGAGAGCACATGAGACGGGGGGAGGGTCAGAGGGAGAAGCAGACTCCCTGCTGAGCAGGGAGCCTGATGTGGGACTCGATCCCGGGACTCCAGGATCATGACCTGAGCCGAAGGCAGTCGCTTAACCAACTGAGCCACCCAGGCGCCCAGGTAGGGACTAGTCTTATCACTATTTTACAGAAGATTGTTAGAGAGCCTGAGCACCTTGTACCAGTGTAAAAGCACCTTTTAAATTGTGAAACTAGAATACAAACCTCGTTGTTGTTGTTTTTTCTGAGGAGCCCCTGTCCCTGAGGCCTTGGAATCCCATGCAGTTTTCATTGACTGTAACAGTATTGGAATGCTGTATTTTTGCCTTGATGTTTGTCATCATTTTATGAGGATTGAGCCTTAGACTTCTCTTTACTGTGTTCTGTTTTGCAGAGTTCTTTGTCTAGCAACTCTCCTCACTGGCATGAATTCCAATAAGCTAGTGCTATATTTCATTGATTCCAAGGTGCACAGGCTTTTCATCCTGCCTTTTAACATTGCTAAGATCAGGATGTATCTTACAACGGAATTATTGAGAATTCTAAATTTAGTAGCTAACGTTGTTTGCTAATGAAAACTTGCCCACTATCCAGCTTAGGTAAAATACCCTGAACTTCACTCTCCTCATTTCAGTCATCTCTTACGAAGAACCATCCAGAGTCCTAAATTCTTCATCATAAATAAACCCGAGAAAAAATACATCTAATACCTTGAAGGAGAGAGAGAGGGTAGGAATTAAGGTTTGAATGTGGTATTTCTATTTTTTCTTTCAGGAGTAATGTCAAAGGCTAGTTCTTTTCTCACAAAAAATCATCTATAAAAGGAAAAAATGACTTCTAATAGGCTATATATTATAAGCAAATATGTGTTAACACAAATTTTGATGGCCCTTTGTAATGTTTTTAATCTAGAAGAAATTCTGTTTAACAGTCTTAAAGGGATATCCCAATTATAAAATCATGTATATGTATGTATGTATTGTATTGTTAAATATGCGTGCGTGTGTGTGTGTGTGTGTGTGTGTGTGTATAGTTAAACCTGGCTAAAACTGGAAGTTTTACTAAAGTAAATATTATTTATTGGGTTAGGGTTATTTAATTACCAAATCACAACTCCCTTTACACTGTAATAACATATTGGGAGGAATATGAAAATAAAAACTTTGGGGAGGCTTCTCTATCTTTGCTACCTAGGGCTTTAATATTAGAGCTCAGAACTTATATAAGAAAAAGGCATTCTGAGTCAAGTGAGTAAATGTAATTGTGACCTTTAAGGCTCTTGGTTAGGATTTGTGGCACTCAAGTATGCTTAGTATAGGTAATCAAAAGTAAGGGCATCTAGTTATCTTATCCTAATGGCTCTAATTTCTGACAATGCTTTCCTTTTTAAATTATGGTTCTTCATATTGGTACTTGGACTTCGTCTTACATCTGGAAAAATACATACACACATGTAAATATGCACGAACATGTTCATTGTTGGCTAAATGTCTCATCAATATGATATTTTCGAAAGCCAGATACAATTTGATTAAGCACATCCAACATAAGTCATCATTCAACTACAGCTCTTTTCCATAGATATCTAACCAGAGGAGGTTGTCACAGTTGTATGATTGGGTTACAGAATGGACAGGAACTTGAAAATAGAGGATTTTGTGTACCAGAATTGTTTCATCAGCCTAGTGTTGGGCTAATTGTGGAATTTAGTGATTAGAGAAAAAGTGCTGTGATTTAAAAATTTTTGTTTGGGAGAGGCTCTTCACCTGTACTTTAAGAATGTAGTACAGAGAATATGTTAAGCAAATTTTACCATACAGTAGTCCTTGTTCTTCATCTTTTCATTCCATTTTTATCCTCTTTCCCCTCCTTTTCCATTCCCTCATAAGAGAAGGCAGCTCAGGAAGCTGACTTACAATCAGTAGTCTGGGAACTTCCGGGATTCTTTACCAGAATCTCCCTGGATGTTGCAGTCCCTGACGCAAGCAGCATTGTTTGGGGGTAGGAGTTTTTATAAAGGCTATCAGGAAGAGTGGCTAAGGTTGCTAACTGCAGGTATTATGCTTTGTAGAAACTCAGTTGGGAATTCTTTTCTGCCAGCTCCTATGTTCATTTCTAAATTAAAAAAACATACTCCCACCTCCCCACACTCCCCCAACAAGTAAGGATGGACTTCCTATTTCTGAAAATCTGATGATCTTTTGTAGTCGGTCTATTCTCTAGAGCAGTTTACTCTTACCCCAAACCTCTTTTCCTTGTTATCCCTAACTTTGTTGTGGTTAACATGCACTTCTTATGGAAGTTTTTAGATTTTTGTCTTTGTCTTTGGATCAGTTCTGGTTTATAGAGGAGTTAAAGGAAATTGTAATTAAACTTGTACTTTAGAGTTTTTTTTTTAACTAAACTATCTCCATGATAAATAAAATAGTCATTTAAGTATTATTTTATGTTTGTTTCTTACTATGTTTACTAATAACCTTTTTTTAAAAAAAATTTTTATTGATATTCTTAATAAATCCCATTTTTGTTACCCAGGCTAAATAATCTTTACATAAAATGTCATGGGTTGAGGTAATTTCTGAAATGACAGATCTGAAAAGGGGAATGGGAGGAGATCCAAAAACACTTGTAGACTTAGTGTTTATGTGTAACATCAAATTCTTATCAAGAAGCCTCTAGTAATGTTTCTTTGAAAAAAGACAACCAGGAGGAAATGCAGTAATTCTTTTTTTTTTTTAAAGGTTTTATTTATTTATTTGACAGTGAGAGACATAGCGAGAGCAGGAACAAAAGCAGGGGGAGTGGGAGAGGGAGAAGCAGGCTTCCCGCGGAGCAGGGAGCCTGATGTGGGACTCGATCCCAGGACCCTGGGATCATGACCCGAGCCGAAGGCAGATGCTTAACGACTGAGCCACCCAGGTGCCCCAGAAATGCAGTAGTTCTTAATAGCTTATAGAACTGAAGAAAGACAAGATGTACCCTTTGTTATCTACTTTTGGAACATATTCTTAGTAACTGGTAGTACTGCAATGGTATTTTCTCTAGATTTCTGTTATAAATGCTAAACATAAATAAATGAGAATTTGTGATTTGATTATGATCAAAAGGTAGTAGACACAGATCAATAGAACAGTAATTAGCACCCAGATATCTTGGGGGATGGGGAGAGGTGATGGACAGTAAGAAACTTTCCTTGCTAGGGAAGCTAAGTATAATATTTTAATGGTAAGATATTTCTCTTTGCCTTAGTTTTTTTAAATCTGTAAAGTGGAAATATCTTTTATTTTTTTTTTAAGATTTTATTTATTTATTTGACAGAGAGAGAGTGTTAGCAAGAGCAGGAACACAAGCAGGGGGAGTGGGAGAGGGAGAAGCAGGCTTCCCGCTGAGCAGGGAGCCCAATGCGGGGCTCGATCCCAGGATCCTGGGATCATGACCCAAGCCGAAGGCAGACGCTTAACGACTGAGCCACCCAGGAGCCCCAATCTTTATAGATATTTAAATGAGATAACACGTGTCAACAGTTTAGAATAGCGCTTAGCATCTAGTAAGCCCTCAAGTAAATTTAACTGTTGCTATTCGTATTTAGATTTTTAAAAAGAGAACCCATACTCAGTGACAGATCATGGTAAATGCACCTGCAATTTAAGATTTAACAAAGGAGTTATTAAAAAATAGCATCCAGCTCCTTATTCCACCTGTTTGTTGAATCTTGCTTTGGGAATGTTAGCATAAGATTTAAATCTCTTAGTCTGATTTAGTAGAATGAATAAACCTAATAACAATCTTATAAGTGAAGTAACTGCATATTTCCTTTTTTTTTTCTTTGTTTCAGGTTTCCCCTCAAAAAACCTATAAGGTAAGTTGTTCAGTTGCCCTTCATACGCTTAGGTTAAATCTTAATTAGAAGCATTCCTTTGAAATTATGGCAGAGTTTTGTGGCTTTTGAAAATGTGGATTTAAGTAGTTTAAAATATCAGAATGTTTTACAAATTTAAAATATAACAGGTGTTGCATATTTTTTCTGGAAGACAGCATTGTTTTGATAACATTTTCAATGTTTTTAATATAAGCATTTTAAAAGTTTGTTCAAATTGATAGTTAAGGTCACTCCCTATGAAGAGATTTAATTTTAAAATCTATTGTGACTGTTTTCAGTTGTGAGTAGCTTGGGGAGTGTAAATGGCTTGCCAGTTTTTGATGTATTTTATCACTTGGGTAACTACAGCTGCCTTTAGTTAATGAACTTTGGCAAACTGAATCAGTCTTAATTACTTTAAGACAGGAAAGGAAAAAATCCAAAATGTTCAAATACGCCTGTGCTCAACAGCTATATCTCTATATGTATTCAGATCCTGGGACTAAATGCCTTTTCCTCAGTGCTTATTCTCACTGCTCTCTCATCCTAGTTGTCATGAATATTATTTAAAATGTAGGTAGTATATCATTCCTAATTATGTTAGTACTTTTATCATTTTTAGTGACAGCATGGTCCAGGATACCAATGCTAATCTTGGCATTTCAGTTAATTAGTAGTGTATGTATTACAGTGAGGGTCTTATTTGCTCCCCTGCCATTATCTGATCAGTATAATTGAGTAGGCCATAGGAAAAATAATAATTCTAGTGTCATCTGGGCCTGCCTGACTTCTATAGCTAGAACTCTAGTGAAGTTTGCCTAAGATTTTTTTTTTTTTTTTTTAACTATTCTCATCCATGGTACATTTACACAGTGATTTTGAACCTGACCATAGAATATGTAGGGTCAGGTCAGGGGAAGTGTTAAAGTGTTGAATTAGTTTCAGGCACTGTTTTCACTGTTTTCTTACCTGTTCGGTGGAAGTCATAGTAACCTGTGAAATCCACTGAAAGAATTTAAGTTATTTTATTTTATTTTTAAAGATTTTATTTATTTGTCAGAGAGAGCACAAGCAAGGGGAGTGGCAGGCAGGGAGCCTGATGCGGACTTGATCCCAGAACGCTGGGATCATGACCTGGGCTGAAGGCAGACTGAGCTGCCCAGGCATCCCGAATTTAAGTTATTGCTAATACTAAATGCTATTTCTAAGTTATTTCTAAGAATAAAATAGACTTAATACTAAATACTACTTTTATTATTTTTAAGCACTTTTTATAACTAGATTCTTTACTACACATAGCATAGACTGAATTTAAAACTTCTTGAAAAATATAAGTTAGATTTATGAGGATGTATAAGGTAAACTGATTACTTGGATTCTCTTTGTAAGACACACTTGCAATTTTTTAAGTTTTTATTCTGTTGATTTGCTTGTAGTAAATATTTGACTGCTTTACTTTAATTTAGGCATGGGAGTATTTTGAACCGAGAGTCACCAACAGATAAGAAGCAGAAAGTTGAGCGCAGTGCATCACATGATTTTGATCCTACAGGTAAAACATTGTTTGTTCTTCCAAAGAATATTGAGAGTAGTTTAGTTCAGCATAATTGAGCTTAAGCTGTATAACTACCTGAAATACCCAGGAGTTAGGGTTTGGTCTGTTTCCGACTCTTCCTTCCTCTTCGATGTTATAATACAAAACCTGTGCTTTCAGGAGGAATGCAAGCATTTTTAACGTTCAACACTATGGATTCCACTGTGGAAGCATCATTGTAGAGTATATTTTATTAAAAAATAATGATGATAATAAAAATTATCATTATTTCATAATTGGAGATTCTAGTCAGACCAAGGACTTAATATTAAAATAAATCATTAAGTGTGAACGGTAGTATCTCATAAAATCAAAGCTCTAACAACTGCAGATTTCTGTAGTCATTTAAAAATTCATGTGTGATCATGGTAAATTGGAGTATTAGATAAAATCCAACTTTAGAAATTAATGATCATCTAATTTTAGAGTAAGCAAATGAATAGAGATCCCTTTTTCTTCAGTCAAAAATATTCTGAACTCAGAGAATCTTTTCAGTAGTGTTGATCTTTCCTAAGGTTTTCATGTTAGTAGACTTCTGACTATTTATATTCTTAATTTTATATAAATAGATTGAATTCCTGTTGTACAATGTGGGCTTTTGCTTTCTCCTTATAAAGTCACTTAGTATTTAGTTTATAAAAAATGCTGGATAATTTGCTTTTGTCATTTGAAACTGATAAGTGTTCTTTGTGTACATACTGTTTTACTCAGTTGTATGTTCCTATGACAAAAGATAAAGTAGGCAATTGCTAAGGTCATGGATACATAAATAAAATGTATCTTTTTAGATATTTTTGTTTAGAAATACAATTTTTAATAGAGCATATTTTTTGTATCCAACTCAGATGTTTCATACTTTTAGTATAAACCGTTATTTTGAAAAAACATAAATATTATCCAGGAAGGGAAGAATAGGAAGTGAATATCTAATAATTTACCTGCATCTTGGGTCATAGGTAAAAATGAAATCCCGATCATCAATTTATTTAGGCTTTGGTGGTGGGGCATAACTTCTGGATCTCCATTAAAAGATAATTTTTTTATTTCTGACATCTAATTTTGATATGATGGGGCTCAGAGGCTTTTATTAATATGATTAGTTATTATCTTGCTAATGAGTTTCTGCCCTATGTTCATATAGACATTAGAGTCTTGTTAGATTGACTTATTCCTCTGTGGTGTGCCCATTTCCAAAGACAGACTTAGCGAAGTGGTATGCAGTGCTTCAAAATGAGATTATTACAGCTTTTAGTGCTTTTGTCATCTCTATGATTGTCAGATGATATATTTTGTAGACTTTTCATGTGTTGTTTTGTTTGAACATATTTTTATTGCACTGTCTTTTCTTCGATAAATCTTTAAAATATGTCATTACTTGTGCTGTTCGTGACTGTTCTAAGTGCTATCACCTGTGATGTTCATACTTTGTGTTTGCACGATTTAACTTGATCATGATTCATTCTTTTTTTCCCCCATGAATTTTTCCCCTCACATTGGTCTCCATATTTTCTATATCTCTCTCCTTTTCTCCCGCTCTTGTGCAGATAGCTCCTCCAAGAAGACAAAGTCTAGTTCAGAGGAGAGTAGATCCGAGATATATGGTAAGCTAATGTAGCCAATTCAGCCTTGCACCTTTGGAGCTTGCTTCATGCTGTTTCCTTTTTTTTTTTAAATAACTGCAGCCTTCCTTGTGTCTGCTCTGCATGGCGTGACCTACTGCAGGGAAAGGGAGCCTGGGGTTTTAAATGTGGCTGCCACTGGGAAGCTTAAGGTTGCTAGAAACTAACATCATAGAGTAAGAGTAGGCCACATGACCCCTCTTCTCTTTCATCTTACGTATGATGGGAAAGTGATAATGTCTAATATGTTTGAGTTGGGCTCCTCCATATAATATGGGTGGGCTTTGAATTCTTGGCATCTTCTTCCCATGTCCCATTTGCTGAGTTTGGATCATGTAGAATTTCATGGCACCAGTCGTTCCCTCTAAGCATAGCACTGGTGTGACTTAGAGCCGTTACCAGTTCTTTGGAATGTTTATTTGATTTTTTTTATTTGTTTCTTTTTATTGGCTTCATCATCTGGAAATGCTGTTCGTGTATGATTTATCCACAACAGCAAAAATACGTTAAGTATTTTATTTTTGTGGCTTGAAGAATTTGTTTATGCCTTTCATAAGTTTCCCTGAAGCTTATTCTGAATGGGAAAATGTCAGAATGACACCTTTTAAAAATAATTTTCACAAAGAGCAGGTTTAATCTGAATGGTTAACTTTTGCAACAGATGATTGAAGCACTAATATTTCTAGGCTGTGTCCTGTCTTCCAAAGATAATTTAAACCATGTTTGTGAAGTTCATACACGTTTTTCCCTTTCCTCTGCACAGTTTTACCTGCCCTCTTCCCTTGTTTTGGCATCCAATTAGTGCTTTGAGAAAAGTGAACAGGAGAAATACTGCTTGGAACCAAGACTTTTAAAATAATCTCTGAAAGACTAATAAGTTATTCCTTTTTAAGAAGATTCCAAATTTGGCCTCAAAGGAAAACCAGGTCTTCTCTAAAAGAGCCAAAAGTCTATCAAATGAAAGTTTCCCCAGATGTAGCTGTGTGTCCTAGCCTGATAAACATGAAAGGAAAAAAAAATATATGAAAGCGCCCCTCCCCCCCTTAAGAATTTTATATCTCCTGACACTTGAGCCCCATAGTGTCACATACTTTTTAATATTATGAGGCCTCAGTGTTTGGTTTTAAACAAGTTAATGCTTCTATGTTAAATAGATAAATATAGCTCTTTGCTTCGTTTTTTGTGACCAGTGCCTTTTTGTGTGTAGTTAAACCTTTTACAGTTAGTTCAAGACCAAATGTGTTCCATGCTGTATGGCATGGCAAGTGTATGTTTTTTTCTTCTGTCCAAAGTATTTGGCTCCTCCTAAGTAAGAGCTTCCGAATTTCTCAAGACATGTCTCTCTGTTCCATATAAAGAGCTTCCTATGGCTTATTCTCCCCTTAGGAATGTGAACACTATCTTTATTGGCTCCCTTCTTTTCCAGTAGCCTTTGAAATGTTGTATTTCACCTCCCCCACCATTTTCCTAGATCTGTGGTATGTATGCAAAAGCTTGCTATTTGCTTTGGATGCTAGGATGTTTGCTTTGGATGATAGGTATGTATGCAAAGGCTCGCTGTTTGATTTGGATGTTAATATTTCAGTGATAGGAATATTAACACTAGTTCAGACATGCCATTCGCTTGTTAGTAATAGAAACATTTTAAGTGGTAATGGGGAAATAAGGTGTGGCTTCTCTGTATGTTTGTTTCTTGAAAACCCTCAAAATACCTTTTTTTGGAAGGAACTGAGCCATGGGTCCTTCAAAAGCACTTACAAAAGGGATGACTTGATCAGAACAGCATTAGTGTGCTAACTTAAATCTCTTTGACATTACAAATATTTTATCACCTGTGTGAATAGACTTCCTCAGACTTTGTGCCGTTAGCACAGATGAAAAAGAATCTCTAGGGAGTCGAGAAAAGCGTGGGAATGATGGAAGATGATTGAGTAGAGTCATGGCAACTGCTGACTTTGCCTTAGTGTAGGATCTCTGACCAAGCCCACTTCGTAAGTTTTGAGATTTTACACTGTCTTGGGGTAGAATTCATTAGCTCGATACTTCGACAAATGCTAGTTCTTCACTTAACAAATTATTTATTTTGAACTCTCTTAGCTATTTTTAGAGCTGTTTTGGTGAGATAGATTTACTCGGCTCATTTTAAAAGAAAACCAAGTGTTTGTTTTGCATTGACTTATTTGTGAAGTTTCTGCCTGGGGCAGGAGGTCAGTATTTATTCCATTTCTTCTTATTTTTCCTCTGTACCTTTTGGAGTCTATTGATCACATGCAGATCATGTTTCTGATCTACAATTTCAGTTATACTTAATTTTCTATTTTTCTCATGAATCTCGTAATGGAGAAATTTTGTGGATTTTTGTGGGACATGAGAGAGTTAGCGAAGGAATTTGGAGTTTGACAGCAGCCTCTTCTTGCCTTCTGTCTTGGCTTCATGAAGAGATTCTAGTTGATAGGATTATATACAAAAAAGTAAGCCATGTCTTTTTGAAACTATCTTAATCTGCTGGGGCTGCTATAACAAAATACCAGAGACTTGGCTTAAATAACAGAAATGTATTTTCTCTCCCTTTTAGAGGCTAGAAGTATGAGATGAGAGTGCCAGTTTCTGGTGAGAGCTCTCTCCTGGCTCGCAGATGGCCCCCTTTTTGCTTTGTGCTCACATGGTCCTTCTTTGGTGCAAGCGCAGGTAAAGAGAGAATAGTCTCTCTGGTGTCTCTTCTTATAAGGACACTAATCCCACTATTAAGACCTCATCCAATTCTAATTACCTGCCAAAAGCCCCACCTCCAAATACTATTACATATTAGGGGTTAGGGCTCAGCGTATGAACTGGGGGAGGCAGGAGGGACACAAACAGTAGTCCGTAACAGAAACAAACTGTTAGTACTTGAACTGTCCTGGTTGGATACTTCAGAGTGTATTTTTTTTTTAAAGATTTTATTTATTTATTTGAGAGAGAGAGCTCATGAGCAGGGGGGAAGGGCAGAGGGAGAAACAGACTCCCCACTGAGCAGGGAGCCCGACATGGGACTCCATCCCAGGACCCTGAGATCATGACCTGAGTCGGAGGCAGACACTCAATTGACTGAGCCACCCAGTTGCCCTTCAGAGTGTATTTTTAAAAAATTCTTACCTTTTTTAAGTTCAGCCTCCTCCGATGTATAAAGGTAAAAGTCCCCAAGTTATTCTTTCTGCTTTCTTCGTCAGCCTGGCAGAGAGCACTGTACAACAGGAACCTTCTATGTCCTCATAAGTCACTCACTTCCTAACCTCTTGAAGTCTGACTTCTGAACACATACTATCTGGAAGGTGAACCAAAAGATCCTACTTGAAAATCTGTGAACTTTTTCTCAGTTCTCACCTTCCTCTGAACAAATTGGCAATGCTGATACCCTTTTTTTTGGTTTCTGTAATATTACATTAATCTGGTTCTTTTCTCTCTGCAATTGTTTTCTCTTTTGTTTACTTGATTGCTTTTTCCCTTTTATAGATGTAGAGGTGGCCCGCGTTTCTGTCCTTGATCTTTTCCCCTTGTCAAGTGTTCTATTTTTAACTGTTTACTGAATACTTTCACTCTGACCATCTTTCAAATTCAGAATAACCAATGTGCAATTCATCCTTGTTCCCTGTGACTAGAAATCAATCTTCCTCATGATTCCCTGATTCTTTTCATCGCACTACCATTCTGCCACTCACCTAGTCTCGTTTTCTTCAAGTTATCTTTTTTTTTTTTTAAAGATTTTATTTATTTATTTGACAGAGAGAGACACAGCAAGAAAGGGAACACAAGCAGAGGGAGTGGGAGAGGGAGAAGCAGGCTTCCCGCTGAGCAGGGAGCCCGAGGCGGGGCTCGATCCTAGGACCCAGGGATCACGACCTGAGCTGAAGGCAGACGCTTAACCGACTGAGCCACCCAGGCGCCCCCTTCAAGTATCTTTGACTGCTCCCTTTCCCCTGTCCTTGGGAGTCAACAATTGGCCAGGTCCCGTGGATTCTACCATCACATTATCTTTCATCCCTCAATCTTTGGTTCTGTCGCCACTGTTTTGTTCAGTTTTCCATCGCATCATGAGACTATTTGCAGAGACTCATAACTTTCTTTGATGTCGATTTCACATTGATTCACTTCCTTTTCTCCATTCCACTCTCTCTGTTAGATTAATATGATTAAAGTAAGGATTTGGTCATTCACTTAGTAGGAAAGTACAAAGAGTTAAGTAAGATGTGCTGTAATTTGTTTCTAGTTTATCATTCTGCCTTAATCCCCTGCTCTTACTTCTGCCATTTACCTAAAGGTACCAGCCTGTCCTCCAGTTTTCCCTTTCCAAATATGGCTTGGTTTTCTTCCTTTGCTCATGCCATTCCCATTGTTTTGAATGGTTTACGTCCTATAACTCTCCACCCTACAAGGCCCAATTCAAATACTGCCTCCAGCACAGGGCTTTCCTGGGTTTGCCCCGAGCCTCTGTGGTCTAACCTTTGACATCCTGCTTTGTATCTAGTTATTTGTGTTTCTGTCTGTCTTTGCATTTTCCACAATGCTTGCCACAGTGGAGGCACTCATTTAATGAGTTTTGAATGAGTGATTATTGATATCGGAATGAAATATTTTAGTAAGGAGAACTGATAGCATAAGCATCTTGATTGGATTTTTCTTCAGAAAAATTTCAAGGTTCAAGAAAACGTAACTTAGAAAAGAGACTTACTGCTGGTAATAGTCTAAAAGAATGAAATCAGCATACTTGGAAGTTAAAGCTTCCTCTTGCTGGCAGAATTGTGCATTTAGAATCCAGAAGCTTCTTAATCAAAGGATTATCTGAGGTCTTACTCATAAAACATGTATGTCTGGCAGCAGTTTAAAAATGAGCTGTTTTTATGAGGTTGCACATGGTCTTTCTCCACACCCTTCCCTGAAGCTAATTCTTGAGAGGTGAGACTTAGAGAAGTTTGGTCATGTAATAAAATGAAAGGTGAAGAAAG